AAAGGAATCAAGGCAATACTTACTCTGAAATTAAATGTCATAGTGATTTTGCTCTTGCTAGAGGAGCATCGTACTTAAAAAATGTTGTACATCAGGCGAATGCCTCCGCATCTTCGGCAACATTACATGATGGCATGCGCTCTCTTTTCTTTTTATCCCTTCCCAAAAATGTATACGAAAGTGTACCATGTCCCTGTCGGCTGGAACAAGCATGTTTGGTTTTAATAATGTCTCCATCGATTAGTATGCATTTTACTTAAACGAGTGTTAAAAAACTTCATTAATGAATTTTAACATTTCCATTTTGTGAAGTTGCTGTTTTCATGTTTGCTGATGTTTTTCTCCGTTTTTGAGAATGCAGGTATAGAGTCGTTTACTCAAGGTGAGCCACGCTTATTTTTTTTTTGTTTTTAGATTTTACCGGCGACGTGTATGTTGTGGGAAATGGTAATTATTATTATTAATATTACCATTTTAATGCGTTTGACTGGACATAAAGCTAAGTCAATGACCAGTGCTTCTGTGAGCAATACAAAAATCATAACCACACATTGTGTGTAATAAGACCTTATCATATCATTGTCCGCAGCTTGATGGATACTCACATCATTGAGCGGCATATTTGTATAATGCTCTTAACAACATTGCCCAGCCATTATTATTAATGCGTCGAATGTTGCCATTGCACATAAAATTGTGATACAAAAGAAATAACTTCCTATCCCAGTGTTACGTGCTTTCAATTTACTTCGGATTCTTGAGATAAATCAACACACGTTAAAAAATGTCTTTAATCGAACTGCCAACGTTTCGGCCTTTATTTCAAACCTTCCTCAGGGCTACAAAAATTTAAAAAAATACATTAAAAATTCAAAATTGTAGGTGCGGGAATGGAGGGAAAAAGGTCCATTAGAAAATTTGCTAAGAAAATGCACAAGAATATAAAAGTATAGAACAAATGAACAAAAACGATGACAATAAACATTAAAGACTAGATTTAAAAATGAACAAATATGCAAAAGTGTAAAAGTCAAAACATCCCTACATATTGAATGAGACACGAAAAGCCCGTAACGAGGGAAACAAACATCCCCTAGGTTAACTATGAGAATAAAGAATAGAACATAAAATCAAACAAATACATGCCAGTTCGGCTGCGTTAAACCAACGCAAAACGGAAGAAATCCAAACAGTCCCTAGATATATGTATACGAGGAGCTATCATGAATGAAAAATTCATGAAGGTCAAACTATGTAAAGCTTTGATTTTGTCTAAACTGGCTTACTGTGACTGCATGTATGGACCTGCCCTTTTGCAAACAGATATTTTACGCATTCAGCGAATTCAAAATTATTGCATCAGGTTTGCATATGGTATCCGAAAGTATGACCACAGCTTTATGGATTCTGGTTGGCTTACCATGACTAACAGAAGAAAACTTCATTTTCTCACAAGATCGTTACTAGTAGAACACCTACTTATCTATACAATAAACTTACCAGACTCCCTGATAATAAAGTAACTCGCAATAAACATCTTTTTGTTATTCCTAAACATTCAACGTCTCTGTTTAAGCGCAGCTTTTCCTACAATGCTGCGAATCTGTATAACAGCTTGGCAGTAGATCTCAAGAATCTGAGCCTCCGCAATTTTCAAAAAAGATTGAAGGCACGACCAAGGGCCTAAGGTATAATCAAACCTCGCTACGTTTTAAAGGATAATGTCTCAATATGTTTCTTTTTAAGTCGTCTTGTTCTTTTTTGCATCAATTGTGCTCTCATAAAAACTGCATTGGCCATGTTCTCGTATGTTCTGTTTTGTATTGCATATTATGTTTTTATATATATATATATATATATATATTTTGAATGAATGTTATTTTTTGTGGGTTTAGCTGAAAAGCAGCTTAGGCTGAACTACGCCTTTCATCATTTTATCTTTAATTTTTTTCCTCAAGTTATTTATAATGATTTATAATGATGAATAAGGACCATTTATTATTATTATTATTATTATCATTATTATTATCATTATTATTATTATTATAAATGTGGTTGAGGTCGTCAGTGTTTTTTTGTTCACAACATTGTATAAAAAGGTGACGATCATTCCGCTAATCAAGTGTTTCTCGATATTGACAGACTAAAGTTGAAATTATGATTATTCTGGAAATGATGAGTTGCCAAAGCTGTATGTTCCCTATCATTTCTATGTGCTACGAAGAATGTCAACTTTTCAAACAAAGAACCACTTATTAGAAAACCTTTTGTTTACGACGGGTTTTTCATTTCATTTTTTGGAGGATTCTATTCGCCATTGGCTGTCAGATCGGTCCCTAGGACCTTTGCTCTTGGTTAAGGTATTGTAATTCAGTTGCTCTGTGCCGTCTGGTTGCCCAGATACCGGACAAAATCAGGGAGAAAGAATGAAATAAGAAAGAAAGGATGGAAGGAGGGAGAGCAAAGAAAAAGAAGTGCGCCAATTTGAGGGATGCTCTGGTATTGCTAACTAGTATTCTAAAATTTTAAATTGATCCTAAAGTTAATTTAGTGATTTATTGTTGAAAAAAAATTATAATTTTGGTAGGACCTAAAGTCGCACGATTCAATTTTGCTCACAGTGCGAGCCGCGGCTTTGTGTGCTTGCGAACTTGCACGACTATGTAGTCTAATGACTCGCGCAACAAAGTGTTGCTATGCGATTCTGCTTTATTATAACGTAGCGACGCTTGTTGGATGTAGTGCCTTAAATAAGGGATGTCAAGGTTTCTGTGACGGGTCGCATTGGAGACATACCATGAGGTGTTAGTGATTGTACGCAAGGTTATATTCTGCAGAACCGGCAGATTGCCGAAACCTGATTTGGAACTTAGTTTTTGACAATTTAGTCTCCTTATGCCAGGTCATTACCCTGTGAAGAGTGACATCAAGATACTTAACTCACTGAAAGCTCAGACAGGGCGTTGCTACGTTTTTTTTTTGACCATACATATCATAAACAGCTGTTAAAGTTACCTAGGTAACAAACAATGACCATGATGTATATCAATCGAGAATCAGTTGTAGATGGATTTCTATGAATCCTGTCTTAAAAGAGATAGGCACGCCTGTGTTTGTTTCGCGGGGGGTGCGAGACGGTAGGGTTGCGAAGGGAGAGAACACAAGAAGTGCAACGGAGAAAATTAAAACGCGGACAAATGAAGGAGCTGCCGATCGATATGCACATGTGGTGGATTAGAAGTTCTAATAAAACACATACGTCCTTTCTGAGCACCGCTTTCTTCGGCTTGTAAGCCTCGAGACGGTGGGGAGTTTTTTAATCGTGGTGAATATAACGGCGGCGGCAAGCATAAATCTTGGAACTATTTGTATCTTCAGATTTATCGTTGTGCTAACTATAATTCGTAACGTTGGTTGAGAAGGCAAACTACAGTAAAGCAGAACTATACAGAATAAGAATAAAATGTAGAATCATATTTTCGGTTTATCATGATGAATACTTTGTCAATCCTGAAAACAAGCAATTTTAGGATGTTTCATCTCGAGGTCGACTTGCCAATAACATTGGTTGTCGGTCGGACTCGATACGCATCAACGTGACAATATTTAAAACAACTTTTACTGGCATTTTGACTGCCTCGACAGGAAAACTGAATGTCAGTAAGTCTTCCATTGGTGGTTTCCATTATTGGTATCAGCGAAATTCAACCTCGCATGTGTTTCTGACGTTTCTTCATCAACCAGCTACGGGAATACGCTACCCAACAATCCCATAGAAGCTCCAGAAATACGAGTGCAATTAGATTGCGTTGCGTTTATTAGAAAGTAGAGTAGGTTTACTAAGTAGCAGTCAATTAATCTGTAGACTTGTGCATTTTTATAGTTATTAATGCATGCTTCTGCCTCCTGTTATGCCTTGTAAAATATGTTTGATCTGTTTCGTCCCAGTTCGTTAACTGGTGTTCTGTGACCCCATCTGGAAACAAGTTTTTTGTGGGAAGAAAACTCAGAAGCCTGAAAGTGGAAAACTTATCAATTTTCCCAGCTGTATGATATTCATAGAAGTATACTGCCGTAGGTAAAAGGCAGTAAAGTTACAATTCCAAGATACCATTTGTGATCACGTTATTTAACAAAAATAGTTATAGTGCGTCCGACCTCAGTCGGGCAACCATGAACAGCTGTTTTGTGCTACTTGGCAACTCTTCAGCATGGTGTAGGCTCGGTATCGGTGTCTCGGTGGAGAACGAATGAAATCTGAGCAATTCTTTTCTATTCGGAGTATGAGGTTTATCGAAATAAGAGAGCATAAAGTGTCCTCTATTACCAGAATCGACCACTGCGAAGGCGACTCAGATATTGGCCTAAAAGTGGCTGTTAACGACTTTTTTTAGAGTCAAGAGGAAACATTTTTTATAAGAGAACGGAATTGGCGAAGATGCACTGATGTAGGGACGAGTACCTACATCGAAAAATAAAATTAGGTACCAAAAAAAATCATACGTCTTTTGTTTCATAGCTTTTTTTTTCTTTTCTAGTACTCCTCATATATAATTAGATCTTGAAAGTATTTACTTTTGTGCTATTTATGTGAACTTCAATACGAATAAATTATATTAAAATAAATTAACTCTACATTACTGCTCTTTTTCTTTAAAAATAATACTTTACGAATACTACGAAAGAAGGCCGTACATTTATTCTTAATAAAAGCAGTAATCACATGCCGCTTTTTAACTTACGACTATTAAATACCAGTTTTAGACCTCGACAGCAATTATGATTCGAAATCACTTTTAAATTACTCTCTTTAAAGTCATGTAACTTTACAATATTCATTCACTTTTATTATGTCCCAATAATATATTTAGTTAGAAGAAGTCCATAATTTTGAACTCAGTTGTGTGAGGCTTCGATTTTTGTACTTTACTGCCTTTTACCTAAGTATGACAGTACATTCACAAGCTAATATAAACCATCGCATATGTAATTTTTTCCAGAAAGTCCAAATTCAAAAGAAGAAAGAGAATGAAACAAGAAGCGTGACCCGACCGTTAAAGAAACCCAGAGAAGATGACCCAATCACATTACTCGTTACGATGGAACAACCATCAGACGCACATATTGGCTGCCTTCGAGGCCCTTTTGCAGGCCGAGACCTTGGTCGATGTGACCTTGGTCTGTGCGGAGACGTCGGTGCGAGCCCACAAGGTCGTGCTGAGTGCCTGTTCCCCATTCTTCCAGAGGATATTCTCGGAGAATCCATGCAAGCACCCTGTGATTGTGCTGAAGGACTTCAATGGCTGGGAGGTCCAGGCGATCGTGGACTTCATGTACAAGGGAGAGATCTCGGTGATACAAGAGCAATTGCAGAGCCTGATAAAAGCAGCGGAGAGTCTGCAAGTGAGGGGTTTAGCCAACCAGGACCCATTTGGAGTCGACAAGGAATCTACCTCGATCATCAATCAAACACCCACGCCCTCCACATCGCCCAATGAGTACGACAGGAATTATTTCAGCAGTGGTAGGCTTTCGACGCCAGGAGCTACTGTAAGTTGAATGTTTAGAACATGTTCACTTTTTCGTTCCTTCTATACATTGGCTGATCCGTAGCGTCAATATATTTAATGCAAAAAGCACATCGCGAACGTAGGGACAGATGCTCAGACATAAATTTAAGTGGGGTGAGACAAAAGTAACGGAATCGCCATATATTTTCCAACTAAGATATTTTTGGAAAAGTCCAAGGTCAGGTCTTTACTAACTTTAGACAATGAGTTTAATGGTGACCTTGGACATGAGCTTGAATCTCATCTTGAAGACTGTTTCAAGGTCAACTTTTATTTTTGAAAACAGTTATCATCCTCTTTTACCGCCCTCACTTACTGGCGAGGAAGTATTGTAATCGCGCTAAATTTCCAAAAATGGCATATTATGTTTAAGTTTTATGACATTGTACATCATGAAAAACCATGTCACCCATCTCCGTCGGTCTGTCTGTCGGTCTGTCCATCAGTCTGTTTGTAGTCCTGTCGGTCTGTCTGCTAATCCTTGTCCCATCTATTACTTGTAAAGGACAGCTTTCAACAGGAGAAAGTAATTTTTTGTTTTAAAAAAATTGAGCAATCAAATGTTAAGAAGATCGTTAAACTCGGCTTTGATAGTGTTGTGTGGACAGTTTTAGATATTTTATGGATTTAGTGTCGAAGATTTCTGGGTTTTTAAGTTGGCATTTCAAGACATTAACTACGTAGTATTGAATTTTTGGCATATTAGAATCCAAACTTTCATGTGTGTGTAGCAATGAGGAAATCAATGTCATTTAAAAGGGCAAGGTATGTACTTTGAGATGGTATCTGTGGCTATTCGCCATGCTACATAACTTCAAATATAGGCTGTTTCTGCACCTTTAGGTCAGGATATCTCAAAACTAAAACCAAAATTTCGACTTCGGATACAGAGCATCAGAAGCCTCCGGGAAAATATATGCTGGTCTCAATTATGATGGTCTGTGTTACTATTCTCCGTAATACTTCGACAGCCTTCGGCAAATGCATGATATTTCATTCATATAATTTTTGTTAGGTACGGACGCCAGCAGAACGAACATCCCCATTCTCTCCAATCCAGAACAGCTTCGAACCTCCCTTGAAGCTACCTCACATGCCCAGGTTATCCTTCCCAGAAACTCTCCTTCCGAGACAAGAATGCCAATCGCCGATCCCTAGGCGGAAACAAGCCAGACCTAGACGTAGGTCGGGCGAACTGTGCGGAGCCCAAGACCTCACCACAAGTGTGGTGAAGCCCGAATCCCCCAGCGAAGAAACTGCCGAGAACCTGTGCATTAAAAAGAACGGGAAAGAAGAGAAACGGGAGATCAAAGAGGAGGAGAAATGCCGGACACCGGAGCCCAGCGCTGGAAGCCCAGAAATGGACCTGAGTATGCAGAGCGGCAAGGAGTTCCGGACATCGCCTGTCAACATGCACCCCTCTATGAATATGAAGCAGGAGATGGAGAGTCATTCACCTTTGCACTTCCCACCAATGCCGTCGGTATCGGCTCTCACAATGACACCTCCTCATAGCAAATGTGAGTAACTATTTCCAATGAGTTAATTATGTTTTAGAAGGCTAGTACATTCGTGGAGAAAATATTCGAGGAAAAACATCAAGGACCACCTTGATAAAGTCAGCTTAACGGAACCCCGCATATACTCGTAAAGGAAAATGTGCAAGGATTCAGACTGAAGATATCACACTGCGGTGCAATTTTGAAAAATTTAGATTTTGGGATAATTATTGATGGGTACAATTTGGCTGAAGTATTTTCAAAATTGTGGTATCTCCGGTTATACAGGAATTTCATACTTGCTCATTTTACGTAGAATACCTTGAATAAAATTATGTTTTTGGATTGTGCGCGAGACGCTAAACACGTCTCGTATATGCCTTACCTCAAGTTTAGTAAGAAAATCATTACAGTATGGCAAGGTCACAATTACAGGAAAAATTCATCATTCATCGGCCTACATTTTGATACATCCGCGTCCAGACGGTCTGTGCCAACCAGTGCACTCAAATTCGCTCAGCTACGCGCTGCCGCAATACATCCGCTTATCTCTGGCTAGCTGTTCCATTCGGCTCCCATCGCAATTAACATATCATAACATCCAGTCTGACCAAAACCAAGCCTATCTGTAGTAGCATAATTTTTACATTTTAGAAACCGGTTTTTCTAATCTATAGTTCATTGATGAAAAGCCCAGTACACAAACTCATTGAAAAAAACAGCTACAAAGGCCTCGGACCGTCCGATGTATACCAAATGCATAAAAAGTAGCCAATTAAAGACCTACCGCGTTTTCAGAACTCAGCCAATAGACCAAGAAATATGGAAAAAGGGGAAATCCATGAATTTTGGCCAAAGTAACTTTTTGGTGGAATCCTTGGATTATTACTTCCTAATGATAATTTTAAATTTGCTGCCAGTCCGACTTCCAGTGACTTGGTCCTATAGGGTGACTATGTATAAATGAATCGCTGCGGCCAGTAAACGTTTTGTTTTCTATAAAGCTGGAAACACACTTGTTCCGGGATATTTTTCTAGAGCAGCACCTTTTAGATGCATCTTGACCGCAGCACCCCCTTCCAGAATTGTAGTAGTTATGAGCTGGACGATCAGCAACAGACAAAAGCTAAAGTCTGACAGATTTTTGTTTAATTTTCAGAATTTATAATGTACTGAATTTTTAAAACTTTGAAGCTTTACAAAATATTCAAGAAGAGGAGAAGCGAAGCTCATCTGTTCGGCTCCTTTACACGTAATCAAGTGACGACCCCTCGTACTGGAGCGACACATGCAGATGACAAGTGTCGCCACGGTTCACTTTCCATCTCTTCTCCTAAGTAGGCATATTAAAAAGTCCGTAGTTTGGTGAAATCTTCCTTATATGAAAAACAGATACGTATATATCCGTTGATAAAAATAATTGATGATGTTATGCGGATATAAACGCTCTAGACTTTCGGATACATCCAGTCAGCATTACTGAATCTAATATCATAAGCAATAACAGCTCATCAATGCTGAATATGAAAAATGCGAGGAAAGTGTTCTTCCATATCAATTCATAGTTTCTTTTACAGGATACTGAATTATTGATCTGTCCTTAGGTATCGAGCCATCAATAATTAATTGCTCCCTTTCAAAGACAATTATGTAAATAGTGCATACGAGTATACTGCGCAGAATAAATATATCATAAAGACTCAATTTAAGGAGATTAGTAAGTAGAAATGACAGTCGTTAGCAAAGAACTTAAACCGTATAGGTCCTGCCATTAATATCTAGTCTATTTAGAGAGTAAACATTTTTCCATATGAACAGACAGGGTGAGATGATTTTTTTTTGTTATTCTGTCGTTTTTGCAACGATAGCTACATAAATCGATTATGGGATATGCGTTGCTATTAGTCCGGGTTTAAAAAATTGACGACTTTGCCCATTTAGTACTAATTTTATATAGTGAATGTTGTGCTCAAAGGAAAGCTCATAAATGAAAAAAGAGCAAGTCATCAATCATTCGGGCAGCCCTCGGCTGAACAGCAGCGAGCATGGATAATGTAGTTGAGGCGGCAGCATCCGAAATATGTGATCAGTACTCACGCATAGGTCTTGTCTGGGTCTTGTACAGAGTGAGGGAGTCATGTGGAGAAAAGTACTTCTTAGCCCTAAGCAAATAGCCTAGCTTTTAAGAAACAGCTTCTGCTATTGACGAGACGTGTTCGTGCCAGATCAAGCCTCAGTGATCTGGACTCTTTCCAGCCGAAGTGAACGGCGCTTTGGTAGATATCGGATATCCATCGAAACCGCTAGGGCGCTTCTTATTAGTCAAGATACATTACGGTGTTGCGTCCCCAACGAGTGATAACTTCCAGGCCTCTCGTCACAGAAGTCACTGCCAATCTTCTTTCCTCCAGCTCACCGGCAGAGATCGGCTATTGTCACTCTGAATTCCTGGATGTACAGGGCTGTCATCAGCATAGCTGTGGATCGGATTAATTGTACAGAAAAGGAGGTCATTGATATGTAAGAGGAACAACGTCGGAGCCTAGACCAATCTCTGGGGAACACCCGCGTTGACTTTGAGTGATAAAGATGCGAACCCATCAAGTAAGACCGATATCTTGCGGCCAGAGAGGAAGTCGGTCATCCATCTCCAAAGGTTCTGTGGGTGGACGTAGGATGGAAGTTCGCATAAGAGGGCAGCATGCCACAGCTGATCGAACTCTTTCGTGATATCAAGAGCAACGACATGAGCCTGACCATAAGACTGGATGAGTTTACTCCACAGTTGCGTGACGTAAGCTAAGAGGTTCCCTGTGGATCGCTGTGGCCGGACACCGTACTGCCTGTTCCTAATCAAGCCCTGACGTTCGAGATACTCCAGCAGCTTCAAATATATGCACGTCTCCATCACCTCACTTATAACAAAAAGCAGAGCTTTGGGCCTGTAGTTCTAAGAGTCGGTCTTACGAGTAGATGCAAGAGACGCGAAAGAACTAGAGGAGGCTCCGGGTCAGAAGCGTTGTTGATATCGAGCGACAGGAGCAGTCGTTTACGGCCTTATGCCTGAAGGTTTAAATCGGTAGCACTCGGGCGTCCATGGTGGAGTTGGCAGCACTGCCGCCTTAGCTCTTGAGTCGGTTAAAGTCGTTCCATCCTGGCAGGTAAACAGTGGACGACTACTCCTTGAGAAGTTCTTTCAATCTTTGAAAAAAACATTTTATTATATATTTTTCGCTAAACATAAAGTACGAGTACCAGTTATGAGGGTGTTTAGCTAATTCAGAAAACAATTTTATCTACACGTGGATGTAACACAGACATACAGTACGGTTTGCAGACAAGTGCGACGTCATTAATACAATGAGCGTAGCCTTCTAATTTTCCATATCTACTTCGTTGTGGTGTATATTAAATATGTCACATTTTTATTCAGTTTTCGGTCTGGACTCACCATTAGGGCTGTTCCCTCCGGGACTGGAGAACTGCAGGAATCCTTTGTTTGATATGCCCGATCCCAGGACGACTCCAGATTCGCAGATGTTCGTTAAAAAGAAAAGTAAGTAATTATTTTCCCATCATATCCTTCTAATTATTCATAAACGTTGAAAGTGTCTACCGAAAAGAAGTTGGTCAGTTTATTAAAGTAGGACTTTACATCCTTGGAATGTTTGTGTGTGGAATAAGTTCAAGGCATCGTAATGAAATATATTTGTGTGAAGTGTGAGTGACACCCACCGTATTGTCCTGATTTTCACCAGGAACATTAATAAAAATGACTGACCATACGAAACATCAAAAATATTAAAAAGTCTCATTAATTGGAAGATGTTCCGTTTCATTTTTGAATTATCTGACTCGAGAGCTGATAAACCGATGGTTTCTGTCGGCTCATCATTTTATTAGTTTCATTTTTATAAAGGAAAACAATTGTACATATATTTAAAAAGTTTTCACTATCTTACTACCGGAATTTTAAAGAGTCTATCGCATCATCGATTACACTAAAACATGGTATATGTCTAGTGTATTCTTGCACGAAAAAAAAATATTACTCCTGAAAAAGCGTAAGTTACCTCACATTGATGTTGTCCGTAATACACTGCGGGAATGCAGTTACAATGTTCTTACTTGGAGATTTATGGTCTTCTCATGGTCATTTTGGAGTAAAATAAACTTTATAATAACCGAAAAGTGAAATTATGTCGAAACAGCCAAAGTCTCAGATATACAAACATAGTTTGACTTGTGGTGACGTAAGTGATCCAGAAGACCCTGAATAGCATCTTCCATTTTATTTATTTATAGTTATATACACATCCTTGAGGGATGTCATATTTACTTTACTGTATTTATTTTATTTTTATCCAAAGATGTTTTTCTGTACAATGTTCAGTAGAGATAATAAAGTCTATCGTGTCTCATTATTTTACACTGAAACATGGTATCTGTCTGTACAATATTTTTGCACGAAATATATATTACTCCTGACATAGCGTAAGGTGTGTTATTTAATGTAAGAATATTATGTAATGATGTTGCTCTTAATATAGTAATTTAGTTTTGACAGTACGGAAGAAAAAGGGTGTAACAGGTTTTTATTTGAAAATTTGAGATGGAGTAGCTCCGTTTGGAAAAACATTTCTAAACTTTTAGTTCATTTTGCTAACAGCCTGTTTTTAAAGATTTTATTTATTAAAGATCGATATCCATTTCGCAGATTTGCTTTGAAGTTTCTTGTAAATGTTTTTATCACCTTTTGATTGCATTTCAGTGGGCAGACCTAAGGGACAGCACTCAGCTCCCAGGGGCGGGCCACCCCGATCGTGGACCAACGCCGAGCTAACCGAAGCACTGCAGCACGTATGGAACAAGAAGATGACTACCAGTCAAGCGTCCAGGATATTCGGCATTCCCTACAATTCGTTGCTGATGTATGTTCGGGGCAAATACGGCAAAAGCTTGAAGTTGGAACAGCTGCGAAAAGACTGTATCGGTACCAATGCGCCCACTATGGATATCATGAATATGTCCGGAGCCAATCCCGGCAGTCTGGGCAATAACAACAATAACTCGTGCAAGGGAGATAGAGAGGAACAGATACAGCCTAACACCAGGTAAGACATGTCCCTTGCATAATTATATTGTGTTTCTATTCTAGAGATATCGATCAACCCTTCCTTGTAGGCATCTGTATAAGTAATATGTTTATACTAGTATATACAGGGTGTCTGCGAAAGGTTGGAAAATCTCGAAACTGGAGATACCACAGACCAAGATATGTGAATTGACCTAAATATATCTCAGTCCAAAAGTTGACAGTTTGCGAGATAGTTACAATTTTATTTTTTATTTTTCCTTATTGCTTGAGGAGTATTTCAGGTTTTGGCATAGAACTCGGTGTAGGGAGGTTTTCTAATATGAGAAACAAGAATCCATTATTTTTTATGGGCAAACTTCTAGAGGCCACCACTTACAGCACCCTTTCGGTAAATAACTTATCAAAACTTTTTTGTGCTACCCTGTATACAGCAACTGGCCAAAAAATCTTATTTTCTCGTATTTCCACCACAAAGAAAGTTTACTTGTTAGAAGTGTCTAAAGTTAACAGTTTTCGAGATATTTGTTTTTAAAGGTTATAATGCATTATTTGTACCATTATGATAACACACCTTTATAACATAATAATCAAGTTGCTTTGCAAAATATCTGAGCAGCGTTGCTACGGTTTTTAACAATAACAAATGAGGTTGGCAACAAAACTAATAAACGAAAATCATAACTACAAAAATTGCTTAAAATGAGCACCACCAACGCCTAACACACTCTCGAGCTCGACGAACAACTAATCCTTGCTGCACTCTCCAAAGCATTTGGAGGTTATTTTTCATTTCTTGGCTATGGTGGAAAATTTTTGTCGAAGATCATCTACAGTTTCCACTTTCCACCCTGTATAGAGTATATACTTTAACGTGTCACACATATCACTGCTCTTACATTTCAGTTCAAGTCAAATGATCGATAACGATAGAACATACTGCGTATATGCGATCCTATAAACCAAAGAACTTAAAAACAGCGACCCCCAAATCAGTTTTATACAGAATTGCATGCTCTACCATTTGCCTCTAAGCTATTTGAATGATAATTTTGACTCGTAACATCCAATAGAAAAATTTGCGCTCCAAGGAACAATGGAGACTTATGATATATTAATTGAAATAAAGCATCATTTTGAGCAGACCAGGATGTGCTTAAATGGTACAGATCAATACTATTACCTTCTTTTTTAAGTATTGCGCGTTAAATTGTTTTGTATAGAAAGCCTTTTTGCTCATAGAAGGAATTTTTAGAAGAATCCCTGACTTTGTTTTGATACATCCTGTATAAGTGGTATGTATTTTAGTGAAAGTCGCATACATCAATGCTTCCACATAATTAATATTAATCGGCTCATAAGAGCAGAGGAGAATCTGAGAGTCCACAGATCACTAAATCTCGTAAACGGTGACTCGAGGAATAAAAGAACTTGAACTTTTCAAGTTTACAGTTTTTGTATGAGGTTCTTTTGTACTCTTTTGTTTTTAGAGAAATCTGACAAAACGTGATATTTTTGGCATTTCAACCCAAATAAAACAAGGTTCCACTCTAAGGATATATAGGAAGTTTTAATATATTATTTATAACGGCGTATTTAAGGTATGTACTCGTAGTAGTTTTCAGCTTTGTGGGAATTTTTGCAAACTTGCAAGATTTTTTGCTGTATTTATTCTGGGCTATATAGCCCGTTGGTATCCATCAGGGCATGGTAGAGAAAATAAATGAAATTGATGTTCACATGCCGTGACATGCCGTTTGCTAGAATCATGTGACAGTTAATTTTGAATCCAAAAATCATTAGATATTGAATAACAGGAGCGGATCCCGGAAGGTGGCGACACCAGAAGCAAAATCGTGCATTCACGGATAATGGATGTCCTTTATTGAAAATTATGATTGAAAAGATAATTTGTGAGTAAAAAATTGCATTCATTTGGATTATGCATACTCTTTTCGAGATGTCTTAATTCATTTTATCGTACATTCACAGGTGGACCATAACGGTGTTCCACCTACAAATTTCATTGCATTGCATGTGCTTTTTGCAGATGATGCGACAGCCCTAATATCGAACAGAGATAAAGAAAATATAAGTGTATGGCTGAGGAATGGTTCCCTATCTATTATAAGTTCATTTAGCTTTAGAAAAATGAGTCTAATCGATAATACTGATATAAATGTAAAATTTCTGGGGGTTGTATAGGAACCTTCAACTATTTGGTCAATCAAATAACTAAAAACACTTTTCCCACTATTATTAGACAGTTTTTACTGATCTTGTCTTTCTGCTTTGTTATGATCTTCCCTATTTCGATTTTACGGAGCAGCGAGACAATACTTCGTTCTCCGTTATCGAAATGATGTTTCGTAAGGTTTTTTTCTTAATATAGCTTAATTAATATAATTTCAACTTACGAGTATACAAACATATTAGTTAAAATATATTATAAATATCAGTTTTAGATCACAGATGAAAATAAATCAAGAAATAGGCAGTCTAAATAAATTGATTTGTCCTAATTTTTGTTAAATATGCAATATGGCAAGGTAGCGTTTTATCCTAGTTTGGCTGGTTTTGTGTTCACTTATCGTTCTTTGGTTCTATGATTTCAAACCTATTCGATTCTTGTTCAGCTTAGACACAAGTATCACCAAATTCTTGAAATGAAAAAAGGTTTTGGAGTTTTGAGGCTAGCTTCACGTCAAAATCGAAAAAATAAGCATACTGTCATGACTGTCAATACTCAGTACTGTCAAATTTCCTCGGTACCACCTTAGTGGTCGTAAAAGTTCTTATTTTTCAACCATCCTTATTAATTTGTCATCGCTGTTAAAAGTAACGCAACGAAGGGCTTAACAATTCGTTATTTTTAGAGTATTAAAAATTCTCTATTGTAATTCAAGCATATCATTTATTAATTCAATTTAATTTCACACATGACCTACACTATCACGTGTTGGGTGCATTCGCCACATACTATAAGAATATTTCAAGTATAAGAGAAAATAGTCCGTATTACTTTCAAAAAGTGTTACCGAGACACTTTTAAATTCAAAAAATACGTACATTTCCCAATCTTACACACATCAGTACTTGCTTTTAAGAACCTAAGTCATCACAACCAACAGAACCATTTCTATGAATATAATACTGGAGAACCACAAAACTTAATAATAGATCTGTTGAGACTCAACGTCAGTCGCTACATCAAAAACTATGGTCCAAAATATTGAAACAAATTAAATTTGGATTACAAGGATGTAAACCTATGTTCAAAAGGAAGGTTGTCGGACTACTTCTAAATAAAGCATATTATTTTATCGTTTGATTCCTTGTTGATACCCCATAAAGCCTCCGTAGTTCTTGAAGATATATTTTGATGTTTTAAATATGTTTTCACATTGTATTGTGTTTGTACTGGCTGATATTTTTTTGAAATGTATCAGATGTCAGTTGTAAATACAATTTTGTGTACTAACATGGAACTTAAATTTGAAAATTATAATTTGATTAAAAATTTTCGAATGTTCATGCTTAAACCACGAAATCAAAATAAACTATACAGAAATAAGGATTTCGTTATTTAAACTTCATTCACGAATGACATTTCACTAAGACATGTTTAGCTCACTAAAAATATTTTCACGAGTTTAATTTAGGATTGCCTTTTGGTGTATTTATCAGAAACTGTTCTGTATGGTCAAGAGCAGTAGCTTCCAATTCAGCACAAGAAGCTATTTCATATGCCTTGTTTTCAAAGAGGAACAGTGGCTCCACCAGAGCACAGAACGTTATTTGTGGATCTTGTGAGTACAAAAAGCAGGTGGTAGACGGTTTCAGACTGTCAAAGCGACGAATCTCTTAGCCGGGGCTACAGTGTGTGCATGTCCTCCCCTTTCTTCGTTTCCCTCTTCAGCATCACGGTGTTCACCGGGCGTTTAGGCCTTCGTGGTGATTCAGTTATAAAAAAAGTTTTGCTTGTTGGCGTAAATTATTTTGTCCGCAAAATCGGCATTACCGAGATTTCCAATTTATGAACTGTTTCACTATTTACTGCTACCACTACATTTACTAACTCTCATGTGTTTCATATACATAGGCAACTGGTACACAATGTAGGTTTGTGATGTGTAGTCGGAGTGAGGGTGAGGCCAGCCTGGCAACTATGCCACCTTTTTTACCCTTTTTACCGACCCCGAAGTACCACTGATTGCCAAATTAGCATCTTATCGACACATCCTTCATTAAAAATAATCGTTTCATTTCCAGGCCGTCAAGCACCGGCGAGGACCCCACAACAACGACGTCACTGCCGGTCCCAACCTCAACGCCTGGCAGTGGCGGAGGCGGCGGAAGTATGACAGGCAGTGGTGGAGGAGGCCATCCGCCACCCCACTCGCTTTTCAACCCCTTCCCGGTCTTTTACCCTGATTTTCCGGGCAGTGGCGGCGGAGCTCCAGGAGCGGCAGGGTTCCCTATCCCTGTCAGTATGATCCACCTGTTGCCCCAAAGCGAGAAGAGTCACTTTTCCCTCACCAACGCTGATGTAAGTAAAATTTATTTATTGTTTTTAGAGTGGCTTTGATGGCCGAATATCAAGATTGATTTGATCAACCATTAATTTTCTTTTGTCCTCTTACAACTAATACCTATCACTAGGGGAAATTCATTGATGTCCTTTAAATAATCTTAACCTATAATTGCACAGGCCAAAAAAACTTTTTTTTTAAAACTTTTTTTACTTTGACGGCTGATTTTTATAATAATAATAATAATAATAAATGTATTTATCAGCAACACAACCATAGGGCGAAGTTTAGCCAGTTGACTACTGTTACACCCAACCCTATTGTGTGCTTAAATATGTATACTAAGTGACATATAAATCCGAACACCCAGTTTAAATGGTTTTATTTTAATAAAAGTTGGTGAATGTATTTATCCTACTGTAAGTAACAAGTGAAAACATTTTCAGCCTTATCTGTTGGACATTCCTGTTTTTATACTGCTTTTTTTCAATTCACTAACGCTCTAAAAATGAATATTTCAGCCGCAGTAAAGAATCAACGTTGGCGGATTTTGATTCTTGACATCCTTTACGATCGGTTACGATGCCTAGAGTACGGAGACCTGTACGATTTCGTCAACTTAGTGAGTTTGATAGGGGCCACATAGTGGGACTTCGGGAAGCTGGACTTTCTTTTCGGGCAATTGCAGTTAGAGTGCAAAGAAGTGTAGACACTGTGGTTAGGTGTTGTCAGGCATGACTTCGAGAAGGCCGTACGCAAAGAGCAAGGGGCACTGGACGCCGCCGTAGAACAACAGACCGTGAAGATCGCCGCCTAAGATTATTGGCCTTAAGGGACCGTTTCTCCACTACCAGGTCCATTGCAAATGAATGGTTTGCAGAACACGGAAGACCTATTGGCATGCGAAGTGTTTACCGACGAATGAGAAGTTTTGGCTTGTTTTCATACCGGCCACACTGGGTCCTCCCTTTAACTCGAGAACACCGACGTAATCGCCTTGAGTGGTGCAGACAACGGTCACTCTGGGATCAGGAATGGAACAGTATTGTCTTTAGTGACGAGTATCGATTTTGTTTAGGCATGCACGATGGTCGTGCCAGGGTTAGAAGGCGACGTGGTGAAAGGAGGAATCCACAGTTTTTTGTTGAAAGACATGTTCATCACACTGTTGGAGTTATGGTTTGGGGTGCTATAGCTTATGGTTCCAGGTCACCTTTAATCTTCATCAGAGGTAAAATGAACGCGCAGCGTTATATCCACGAAGTTCTAGAACCCCATCTTTTACCCTTGACACCCTGGCAGATCCAACTTTCCAACAAGATAATGCCCGACCAAATGTTGCAAGAGTCACAATAGACTTCTTTCAACATAATGATGTCACATTGTTACCATGGCCACCAAGATCTCCCGACTTATCCCCAATTGAGCACGTGTGTGATATGATGGATAGGAGATTGCTCAATTTGCAACGTCCTCCTCAGACTCTAGAAGCACTTCGAAGGGAGTTGGCTGTTGCCTGGAATGAGATACCACAGGAGGACATTGACCACCTGATCAGAAGCATGCCTAGGCGCGTTGGAGAATGCGTAGCACATCAGGGTACATCCACACATTATTAAAGGTCAAAGGGCTTTAAAGCAGTGCAATCATTTTGAAATTTTTATCATTTACTTATTATGCTTCATTAAGTACTTATACAAAATTTTATTAAAATAAAACCATTTAAACTGGTTGTTCGGATTTATATTTCACTTAGTATATATACAATTCAAAGTAATACATCCAACCTGAAAATAATAATTTTTATAGGTTTTTGTGGGCTGAATACAAATGTCGCCTTAGTTTTTTTGTATGACCCATAGTTTTTCAGCAATTTGCTTTTCATTATATAGTATAAAATCCTTGTACTGTATCTATAGGGTGAAATTAATGAACACGCTATGTTCATTGAATTAGCATGGTTTGTATTTACAGCAGGGAACTTAAAGCAGTGATATAATACTGGATTTAATTGTCAGCTGGAACAGGTTTATACGGTTTTTCTCTTTTTTCTTTGAAGCTTCTTGTGTAGCTTTCTCTTCGATGAGTTGCTTGCTGAACTTCTCTGTGAAGTGAGCAACAATAGTCCCCCATCATGCTGATATTCCATCGGCCCTGGTAGCGTTTTTCCATAAGTTTAATGTCTCGGTGAAAACGTTCACCTGCTCCTCACTAACATCTCCCAAATTGTTCGGGAAGTAATCAAGGTGACTGAACAAACACTGAACTTTCAGGATCATCTAACATGTTAGCTACAATAATAACATATTCTGGGCCTTTTTTATTTCCCCAGAACTTCTTAACGACTTGCTTGATAGATGTTCATGATTCTTTCTCATTTAAGGTAATTGTTTATTGAAAGTTAACGTCAAACATCATTTTTCTAATGTCAGGTCCAACAAAGACGCCTTATTTCAGTTTTGCTTCTGAAAGGTGTGGAAACTTTTGGCAGAGATACTTGAGACATGGTCCATCTTTAGGCACAGCCTTTACAAACTGCTTCATCAGTCCTAACATTATATGTAGAGGTGGTAGGAGTACGTTTTTTGGATCTACAAGATTTTTGCAGAGAATGTTCGTCTCACCAGGTTTCAAAAAGCCCCTCAAAGGCCAAATCCTTCTGCACCAATGTTGTTTCCAAGCCCTACTATGAAAGTGAGAAAATGTATTTCAGCGGTGCTACCAACGTCTTCTGCATCCTTTTAGACCTAGTTATTCAATTATTTTAACTATATAACATAAATATGTCAGGCTCTTTAAAAATCGCTTAGTATAACAAATTTAACTATAAAATATTAAAAAGTGGAGAAATGGTGAGTGATACGGCTTTTTAAGTATCATATTCAGTTTCAGCACCCTAAAAAACATAAGAATAAAGTATTATAAGTAAAAAAGTTTTTTCATCGTTGTACTTTATATTTTTTTTCAGGACTGCAAAGATCGTAAAGAAGGTGACGAAGACAGCGACATATTCCGTGCACCCCCCATAAGTGTCGATGACAGGAGGGAACTGTTACAAAACGGACAAGACTAGGATTTAGTTCAGTTGCAATTGCGCAGGTGGCGCTAAAGAGGTAGTTGGTATAGAAGGCAAACGCTCAGTCAAATCATAACAAGATAACCTACACAAAAAATATTAGGATGCATGTATCAAAAATAAAAACACCAACAAATATGATTGCAACAAGTATGATTCTAAGAATAAAATATCTTGGAAATAACCATAGAACTCCAAAATGGTAAATTGTTATTTCTTCGACGTGATGAATCGAAAAGCTCTTAAAAAACTTTCCACTACCATTTTTTACGATTCATCGTCTACAGTGAAAAGCATTCCATTTGTTTTGAGTGTTTGTAAAATGATTGTTTTCTTTCTAAAAGACTGGAGCAACTGAGCAAAGCTTATAAGGCATGAATCGCAAGATATTTAATTGCCTCAGAGCAAATAATCAATTAGATCTGAAAAGGCGAGTAACATTAATACCTCAAAAAAAGAAAGTAAAATTATCCGCCACAAATTGTAATTATAATGCAGTAAATTTGACATATCTTATGGATCGTCTAAACGAGCAATATTAATAATCCGGCTTTATATCTTTTCAATATTGTACGCGACACATGCACTAGTCAAAATTGTGTAGGAGCAAAATAAATGATAAACGTACGCAAGCTTATATGAATGGTAGAGACACGATGAGAGAACAGTTCTAAAAAATTAAACGTGGATGATTTTCTACTTCAAATCATACCTGTTGCACTCTGTACAACATAGCTGTAACGAGTCTACTATACCAACTGTCTTCTTGAGCGAGTAATAAAACAATAGGGGCAATATTAGATCTAAGACTATAGACGTTAGAAAATTATGTATATGAGACTAAAGGATGAGGTCTGTGGACCGTTTACGTTACATCGTGGATTTTGTTTTGTGACGCCACAAAATATTGTTGAAGAACGTTTGTGGTATTGTTGTTTAATGTTTATTGACTATGCTGTCGTGCTTCCTGATTTTTAAATTATTTTTCCGGTATAGAAACGAATGAAAAGATTGTCAAATTCGCGAGTGAACTAAACGCAATTTAAAAAGCAATGTAAATAATGCGCGTACTCAACTGAAAAAAATGAGGTATCGGAATTCACTCGGAATTTGTTTTTTATAAGACTGATATATCATATTGCCAACGTTCCAACATTTTTTATTTACTGGATACCACTTTATATACAGTTCCTGAGATATACAGATTTTTTACCAAATATATACTCAATATTCTATATACAAAGGTTTTTTGTTCACTCCTCCGGGTCTAATGGTTCAGCGCATTTAGCAAGAGGTTTTTTGAAAAATAAACTGAACCTGATGTCCTGCATCACATTTCAGCTGCGATACTAGTAATTTTTTATAAACAGTTTGTACAGTATACAGATTATATATAGCTACACTATTTTGTTTGACAGATAATATTTTTGATCTCCTGAGATTCCTGGTTTTTCAGTATTTTTATATCCCCTTAAATAAAATAGTTACAGAATAAATATAAACTTTTTATAATATTACATTTTTACAGAAATAAATATATAATTAGGCAGTTGGAACAGACTGATCATTTTTATTTTGTTAATTTTATCTGATACAACTATAATTATCATTTAACAAATGTGATTCAACATTTTCCCTGTATTACAAGATTTTGGTTCTCGTTTTCGAATATTTGGCAAAATGATTAAAGAAAAAGCGGTCTAGTTTATTGTATAAATATAATTACCGGATATAAAAACAGCCTTTAGGTCTTATACAATATATGAAAAAAAATGTTTGTACAAACTATGTGTTGACTCTGTGCATGTAAAATTTCTTCTGGATTAACTGATAATATAGTTCGGTGTAAAAGTGGACAAATTTTACAGGTAATATTGTAAGATTTGCTAGAAAATTGTATAAAAATATGTATTATTTAGGCGAACATAGGTATACGGTCAACAATGTACAAATAATCTATTTTGGCTGCAAGTTCAAAAGGTTAAACCGCTTTTACTTAGATTCTTATAGCTGAAAAATTTGTGATAAAAGTTACGTTTTAGTTTTTTCAACGCCTACTAGATCTTTTTTGTTTCACTCACATTTCCTGAGCCCAGAATATTCAGCTATTACCTCAACATACATGAGTGTAGTTCTTTGCAAAAGAATTCCCTATATAATCCAGTTTATTTAGAGTCTTCCAGAAAGTCGAAGCATAATCTATTGCGAAAACATACCTATAATGCTTTACAAGAGACCTATATTATCCGCTTCACGCATCTGTGAAAATTCGTCTAGCTCAGAACATCTTCTATTTACCTTTGTTTTCTCTGATAAATAGTTTATATGCTTCGATTTTGATTTCATCGAGGTTGTTGAGTCACCTAAACCCTCCATCTGATTCTCAGATGCTTTGGAGGTATGTTAAATCTTGTATGTCACTTTTTATATTATGTACATTTTTCATAAGTACTGAGCGGCTTACACCACAACAAATACCTAAAATTAGCTCGAAGTCTGTCTAATAGATTTACCTCTAAATGAATTGGATTTGCATGCTTACCCTTTATCACGCACATAGTTTTACAAATATAGAACAGCACATTTAGAACCTCATGCATTTTTATTCCATACATGCAGGGTACTTGTGAGTTCAAAACTTGCAGTTTCAAAATTTAATCATTATACAATACAAACTTTAAGACACATCACTAGAATTAAAGCATTTCTTAGATTGAGTACACACCTCTGTTATAAGCAGCAAAATGGTCGATTCTGATTTAAATAGTTATTCCTGAAAAGCGTGAGATTAATTAGCAAATCTCAATTTAATAATATCCCGAATAACTATTCCGACATAAAAAAAGGTTTATTATGACGTCGAATTTTAGGTTTGTAACTAGGGGACCTTTTTACGTCAACAGTTTGCCATTCAAGTAAAAGTTTATCTGCCGGTTTGGTTCTCTTTGGCACAAAATATCGATAAAACATACAAAGCAAGCTAAGCCTCCTCATGGAGAGAAATGGTATAAATTTTAGAGGCTTTCAGTCAACGGACTTTTTCTGATTTTCTCAAAAACTAAATGCGGCTTGAAATTACACGCTTTCAAGGTATTATTAACAAAAGCAGAGCTCATATAAATTGGACTGAGCAGAGTACCCTTTAGTTGCTTCTCCTGATAGTCCAGGGAACTATTCCAAAATAAAGATTCTTGTCATACCGGTAATACTGTTCTTCAACCGAATCAGCATTCAGTATTCTTCTATATCCCCTAATTTATCATTTTACATTTATATATAGAGCTCAGAAACAGCTATTATCATTCCGCCACCATTTGAAAAATATGATGCAGATTAAGAGATATTTTATTTACGTTCGGAAACAAGTACTTATTAAATGTATTCACACCATAAGACAGAATTGCCCTGGTCTATTATATACGAATAAATAATGTTAGCAGATTAATCTATGATACATTTGTCATTAGAATTTTTAAAATGTGATAATTGCTACTCTGAAAATGGGTAGCCGTTTGTTAGTTGTAGATTTAGACATCGGGAGATGGCATATATTTGCATTAAAAATTTCAGCATGCTCAGATATATGACATTTCTTCTTAGTAAGTGAGATTATATGTTACCACTCTTTTCCTTTCTCGTATTTATTATTTTCGTTGTTTTAACGCCTATTCTATTTTAGTAGTATTGTTTTCTTCTGTGATGGTTCAGGAATTTCACATCGGTTTCTCAGAAGAGCTTTGAGGGTCAAATATTCTGTTTGTATACACAAAAAACAAAAATGATGAAGCTTAGGTTCAGTAATTGAAACTAAATTAATATTGTATAGACTTCTAAAGTCACCAATTTTATACATTTTCGTTAAGATACTAATTTAGTTTTGTATTCACAACTAAACTAGTATGTTGCTGGAGGTATATGAAATTGGTGATTTCGACTGTTCTCTGTACGCATGTAGTTGAAGAATAAATAATAAAAATATCTGGTCTTTGTGTAGTCACCAATTTTAAGCTTTTATAGCAGCATACTAATTTAATTTTAAGTTCCATTGCTTGGTGCTCGCTACTCGAGTATTTTTAAAAGCGATATTGAGCTAGAATGGTACTGTGGATATTATGAATATTATTTAGGACTTGAGATATCTGACGAGAAACCATTTCCTGTACTATAAACTGACTTCTCAAACTGATAAAATTTATGGTTGTGCACATAGTATTATTTTTATATCTTTCGCTTTTATTTAAAAAGCTTTGTGTTCCTTTACTTACAATCTACATAAAAGACGTTGGGGAAATAGAGTCAATCATAGGTCATTATGAAGAACGATTTGAGAAAAGCATAGTGGAAAGATGATCGCGCTCCATAAATGGTATTCTAAAAGGCTATAATGTTTCAATTTATCATATCCAGCAAGTAATGTGAGTGACTCTAATGTCTGAATCTTTAATTGTTCCACTCGTCAACTTAGGAGATTAAAGAAACATTTTGAACATTTGAATCTCTTATAAAGACAGCGGATAACAATATGTGTCATCCTGTTCTGTGTTTTTTACAAAGATGTTGTTGATCCTTGGACACGATGCACCGCTGACTGACAGTATTTGCCCCTGTAGCAGATATTTTAACAGTAAACTTACATGGTGCTGGTAATTCTTAAGTTGTACATATACTCACACACACATAGACATTCCTAAACAAAGTATTATTAGTTTGTAATTATTTTTGTTTCATAATGTTAGACTTTTCCTGAGTTCCTTTTTAAATATTTTTAAGTCACTTTTTAGTTAATATAGCACAATTTTTATTTATATACGTTTAGTTTATCATACCGCACCTGGCACACCTAGACAATATGAATAGATACTTTATATGAGCAGGGTATAATTCTCAACTGAGATGCATAGCTCGGTGATTCAAAAACAAATTGGTAAAATTTCGGAGAAAACGTAACACATCTTTTGCTCGTCAGTGTTAGTGACACAGAATTGATTGAATTACACCGCGTTTTGTGATTCTTGTTCATTACATAATTACAGGATGATTAAAAAACCATGGTAATATTTTTGGATTAGGTCCAACACATTGAATGCATACATTGTATACATTGCATAAACGCTCGTCATCTGCTCCAGGAATATTGCAATTGCTATTAGAATCATACTGTAAACATTCTACGTTGTCAATGGTAATCCTGAACATGTATAGGCTTTCTTGTTAATTTTAAAAGACTGGTATTCTCCGCTGTTTTACTGCAATCTCTAAAACATCAGTACCAAGAATACTCAATCCCCATAATACTCGGTTATTTCATTTTTAGTAATATTTGTGACTGTTTCGTGCAATATGTCATTGTTTCTTGTTGACTTTGTAGATGAGGAATTCTTTGATGAAAAAATGGCGGTTAAGTAAATATCGTTCTCTCTTGGACGTCATTTTTATATTGAAGATCACATTCTCTGTATTATTGGGCATTAAAATTTGTAATTAAATTGAGAATTTTTGAAATTCTTGAAAAAAGGAACGAGATCCCTGGCATTAATGTGTATAAAAATTTAATGTTGCAATCTTGTATTTATATAATGGTGCAATCATTGTAAAAATCAATAGGTAATAATAAGTGATTAAGACAAAACTATATTCAACCATTGGCACCTCGTACCAATAATTTGAACATTATACTTTTCATTTCAAAAGAAAATGTGTGAACAGGGTAAACTTAAACAATATCCATATATAGATTTATTTATAAAATACGATATATTGAGGTATACCAATACAAAGCAGTATACAAGAATATAGATATCTGAGCAAGACAGTTCACTGCCAGATAGTTCCAATCAAAGCAATGGACTGGTTTGCAGAAACTGTACGAGGTGTAGTAGAGAAGTGCAAAATGACACTCGATAAGGCAGTGTATTATAAATATGTAGGTACATACATTATACAAAATAGATATTTGATATATAGGTAGGCTTAGTTTTTGATGATGTTAAATAAAATCAATAAAGCTTCGTGAAAAGTACTTAATTTTTATTCAAAAAAAAACCTAACTCCCCAAAACTGATGTGTTTTACTTCCTTTGAGTATTGTAGTCGCAAAAAAGTTCTATCTTGGTTATGGATTTTTTTTTATACTCCAACTACCACGAAGACCTAAGGCCTAAGCACCCATTGGGCGACTTTATTTACCTTGTCAGTGGTACGCCTCATATATTCAATCACTTTCAGCCGTTTGACAAGTCACACACCCAGATACTCAATTGCATTTTGACTCCGAATCTCGGCATTCTCAACCTAGCTAAGGAAGTTAGCTTCTGTCTGCCAGGAAGTATATCTAACTATTTTTGTCTTCTGATGAGCCATTTTCTTCCATCCATGAGGTAATTCTCGTGATTCCATATGTCAAAAGTCTTCCTAGTGTACCTATCTTCTTTGCACTATGACAGCAAGATCGTCAGCATACCTTATCAGGCGAATTCCCGACAGCATCTGTAACCGAAGAACCCCATCGCACAACCAAAATAGTCTGATAAAACACATCGAACGAGAGTATCCGGTGTT